AACCAATTGATCATTTGGACATAAAAGAATTGCAAATGATTATTTAATAGAATAGAATAACAGATTAAAAAAATAACGCCTTTTAACTAGGGTTCCTATTCAAATAAAACAAATAAAACGGATAAAAAATAAAGCCTTTTAACCAATTGATCATTTGGACATAAAAGAATTGCAAATGATTATTTAATAGAATAGAATAACAGATTAAAAAAATAACACCTTTTAATTAGGGTTCCTATTCAAATAAAACAAATAAAACGGATAAAAAATAAAGCCTTTTAACTAATTGATCATTTGGACATAAAGAATTGTAAATGATCATTTAATAGAATAGAATAACAGATTAAAAAATAAAGCCTTTTAACTAGGGTTCCTGTTCAAATAAAACAAATAAAACGGATAAAAAATAAAGCCTTTTAACCAATTAACCATTTGGACATAAAAGAATTGTAAATGATAATAGAATAGAATAACAGATTAAAAAAATAAAACAGATCAAAAATAAAGCCTTTTAACCAATTGACCATTTGGACATATAATAATTGTAAATGATTATGGATAATTTTGATTAACCCATAATGACTCTTGCAATTTCACCATTTTTGTAATTTTGTAATTTTTCTAACTATTATAAAAAGGATAATTATTCCCTTGCCATTGAAGCAATATCTTTGATATAATAAAACAACCTTACAGTTATATATTCCTCAAAATTAATAAACTTTTATTCTTTCAAATTAATAATTCATTGATATAATAAATCTTAATCTTTTGAAATTAATAATTCTTTAATAACAAATCTTAAAAATTAATAATTATAATAAAGAAAATGGATCAACAAACTTTTGATAACCAAGACCTCTACCAAGAAAATTTTGATAACCAAGACCTCTATCAAGAAAATTTTAATAATATGAACTTTTGATTCTAGTCAAGTTTTTGGTGATGCACAATCGGAAACAACAGATGCTAATGTTTCTACTACCTCATCAACATTGACATCAAGTCTTGTATGGGAACATTTTGATAAGAATCCATCTTACGCACTAGGATATAATGTTTGTAAAAAATGTACAATTAAGTACAAGTTAACAACAGGTATTTCAACACTTCGTAAACATCTCAAAGACCATCACCAAATGCAGGTACCTGCTAGGAGACAAAGAACAATTACCGGAATTGAACCTTTTTATGAACAAGAACAAATAGAACATACTAAATACCTTATTCAATGGTTAATCTGTGATCTCCAGCCCTTTACCACTGTTGACAACCCTTACTTTAGAAAATTTGTTAGCCACTTCTGTCCTCGCTATACTATTCCTGAGCGACACCAAGTAAAAAATTTTATAATTGATGCATTTAATAATCGAAGAACAAAAATTGCTAATGAACTTCATCAAATCGAGGGACAATATTCATTGACAGTTGATATGTGGACTTCTATGAATCGTGAAGCCTTTTTAGGAATAACCATACATTATATAAATTCAAACTGGAAACTCTGCAATTTTCTACTTGATATCATCTCTTTTACCACTAGACACACTGGAGAAAATATTACAAGGGAGATTATACGCATATTAGATGAATTCAATATTTCTAGTAAAATAATTGCACTAACCACAGATAATGAATCTGCAATGGTTGTATGTGGAAGAAAACTTGCTGAATCCCTTGATAGTCAATTTTCTTCAATGACTTTTGCACATTATTGTTGTGCAGCACATGTTTTAAACTTAGGTGTTAAGCAAGGATTAGAACTAGTTAGTGATTCAATTAATAAAGTACGTGAATTAATGAATAAAATTAAAATTTCAACTCTCCTCTGTGATCAACTTCGTGGCTTTTGTACTTTAAAACATATCCATGATTATAAACCAGTTTTGGATGTGGAGACCTGCTGGAACTCAACTTACTATATGTTAAAACGTTTGGAACAACTTGAACCAGCATTGGTTTTACTTGCTGCTGATAATAACAACATCAAGAATCTTTGTCCTAATAGAAATGATTGGATTATAATTAAGGTAAATTGATATTAGTAATTTTACCACAAAATGAATTATAAATAAATTTGTGTTACAACGGATTTTAAGCTTCACATATGAAAACATTGAAACTAATACCCAATATTCTCATCATACCCTATAGGATACTCTCTCACTTCTTGAAATCTTTGAACAAGCCACAAACTACCTTTCAGCATCATCGTATCCAACTATGGGTGATGTTCATCTTATCTTTAAAAGCATCCAGGTGTATCTGCAAAAAGAAATAGGAAAAGAAGGCTTCACACAGAGTGAAATGGCGGCATCAATATTTCAAAAAATTGAAGAGCATTGGCAAATTATGAATAGTTCTTCAATTGCTTCAGCAGTTTTAGACCCTCGAACCAAACTCTCAGTCTTTTCAGGAGGAAATAGACAAAATGCTTGTGAACATATTCAAGCAATTTTTGAAACTTACCAGAATTCTTCCAATACACAATCTCCTGCAAGAAGGTTATCATCATCTACATCTACCACAAATGCAACTCGTAGACTTTTCACACAACTTCTTCGTAACCCAACACCACAAATTGCTTCAGCACCTTTAATATCAGAATTAAATCGTTATCTTGCATTACCAATAGATGAAGAAACAGAGCCTCTATTATGGTGGCAGGCACATGCCAAAGAATACCCAATTGTAAGTAATATGGCGCAAGATTATCTTACCATTCAAGCAACTAGTGTTGCATCAGAACAGGCATTCTCAGTTGCTGGAAATACAATTAGTAAAACTCGAAATCGTTTGTTGCCAGAAACTGCAAGAGCATGTTTATGTATGAAAAGCTGGATTATTAATAAAATAGGAGATTATTAAAATACAAATTTTTTATACTTATATAGGATAGATATATAATATTATTCTTATCATTTATATTTAACGATATTTTTAAATAAATTAAATTTTAATAAACTATTTGTGTCACATGTTGATCATGTGTAACCGGTTTGAACGGTTTGAACGGTTCCAAAAACCAAACCAAAAAAAAACCAGGGGTTGGTTTCAAAACCGAGTTCAAACCGTTTATTAGCGAAACCGACCCATCCCTAATTTCTAGGCATCCTTTTTTCAACATTATTCTTCATAATGTACCATATATTCTCTATTGGATTGAGATCAGGACTGTTGGATGGCCAGTCAATTGTATTAATCTTATTTTCAGCAATGAAATCTTTTGCAACACGCGATGTGTGCTTTGGATCGTTGTCCTGTTGCAAACGCCAGCTTCTACCATACAAACTTTGTGCAGCAGGCAAAAGCTGGGTCTGCAATATGTTGACATAATAAGGCCCATCCATAATATCAGTAAAACAAAATAATGGCGTTTTACCTTTTAACGAAATTCCTCCCCATGCCATTACTTTTTGCCGTGATTTTGGCAATCTGCGAACTGGTCTCTGTCCATCTTTGTGCCATCTACGAATTTTGTTACGAAAAAGATCAAATGCTGTCTCGTCTGTAAATATTGTATGGCTCCAATTGTCATTCAAATGAGTTTGTGTCCATGCTATTCAGGCTTCAAAGTGACGAGTGGTTAGCATTGGAGTTCCAATAGGGACAGAACTTTTGTAACCTTTTTTTTTCATGTGTCGCCAAACAGTAGGTTGCGAAATAGACACATTGTGTGTTACTTGGAGTTTAATTGCAAGTTGGTGTGTTGAAATAGCAGTATTATGGCGAACAACTTGCCCAATGGAACGTGATAGATTTTGTGTAACCTTCGATGGACGACCATTCCCACCTTTATGTTCAATAGATCCGGTTTCTTTTAGTTTTTTTAAGTTGTTCTCAACTGTACGGAGAGGTATGTTTGTTTTTTCATGTATTTCTTTTGGTGAATGGATACCATTCATCCAAAAATGAAAAATAGTCTTACGTTGTGCTTCTAATTTTGCGTTAACCATTCTTTACAAAGCTTGAAGGTTAAAAGGTAAAGAAAAAACAATGTAATAACATATACGAAGACTGATTATCATGTAAACAATCATATCCAATCACATTTATCATATAAGTAAATGAGAACTTTTTTTTTAATAAATTCAAATAAGCAACCACCATTTTTTTTGAATCACACTGTATCACTGTAGTAGTAAATATGTGTCTTCGACACTAGCTTCGCTATATAGATACATGGATTTACCTCGTATATGAAATATAGAAACCCCATTCGACATATTGCATAATACAAATACATCCACCAAAAGACGTCGCCGTAACCGTACCCCACCACCATCTTACGAAGTGTCAACAATTCTAAGTACGAGTCGCCGTGAATCTACCACTAATCAAAGGAATCGATCCGCATCACCCACCCAAAGAGCGACTAGTGAAAGGAATGAGAATAACAGCGAAACAGCCACCACCAATAATAACCAAGATAATAGAAGGAATGAGAATACCACTGAAACGGCCACCACCAATAATAATCAAGATAATAGAAGGAATGAGAATACCAGTGAAACGGCCACCACCAATAATAATCAAGATAATAGAAGGAATGAGAATACCAGTGAAACAGTCACCACCAGTAATAATCAAGATAATGGAAACAATGTAAATAATGTTAATGATGTGAGTGGGAATTCAGGTCGTAACACGAATGATGTAGATGAAAATTTAGATAATGCTACATACTTATCTTCATCTGAGTTGGCAAATATTACCACATCCCTTAATATATCTGCATCACAAAATGACAGTGATGTTAGTATGTTCGATGTTGAAGGTAGTCAACCACCTTCTTATATGGAATCTATAAATGAAGAGGGGAATCTGTGAAGCAGGATGTTAATACATCTGAAAAAGTAATAAAAAAATATTATACTCCTTCTTGATTAAACGTAATTGCTAGTATATATATCCACCATTTTGATTGTATTCGCATCGCCATAAAAGAAGAAGCATTTATGTCGTATATATTTCAGCGTGAATTGATTTAAAGAAGGAATTAAATTTATTGCAAAGCAATGACACTTATGTGCCTTGATAATCCCTCTGCATAATCAATCAGATAATCGATATGTTGTACATGGCTATGTAATGAAAATTATTTTTAGAATTTCGATGTGTACTACCTAACTATATATAATGTAATATTGCATGCATGTTTATTTGTGCGATTAACCAAATTCGATTAATTACCTCATGTATATTCATTATCTTTTGTAATGAAAATTCTTGGCGTAAATACTACTTTCTTCCACTTTATTATACCCATTCTATAGATCCAAATGAAGATGTAGAGAGATAAACGAAAACGTTTAAAAGGACAGTATATCGAAGTTATTGTTACTCGACGCTTTTACATTAGCACTAAAATATTTTAATCTTTTTTTTTATAACAATTTAACTACGTAAAATGTCTAATACAGGATTATACAAAAAAGTTTATAATTTTCTTCATAATTCCCCCCTAGAACATATTACTGCAGTTTCAATAGTCCATCAAATAATAGAAGAAGAGCCGTGGTTTCCAAAAGAAGATTCGAGACAATTGATTCATAATGTGATCACGGCTATAAAAAATGAGCTTGAAGGGAATTCGGAGAAATATAGAAAACTTAATGAGATCCCTTTTAAGGTTAGTTTTTTTCCTACTCTCAAAAATTATTTTTTATCATCGAATGATGAATAGCGTAGAATCTTAAAACCAGATTGAGTAGATATCCAGAGCCTGCAAGCACAGGTTTAATCATTATTGTATTAATCCTTAGACGCATGGGGAAGTCTTCTTTGTCTTGGTTTGAGATGGATATTATATACGAATTATGTGAATTGTCATCTATGTGCTGGCCACGCATAGTTGGTGATTTTACATAATATATTCTGAAGAGTGTGCACACGTTTTTATTATAAGTTTCTCTAGAGCAACCAAATCTAACTTATTTATTTCTACGCTAGTTTGATGATGCTTTCGAAGGTGTGTGTAGCCTTAGAGATATTGATTTTGCGAAGCGAGATGAAGAGGTGTCTATTGAGGAGATTGAAACGAATTTACGGAAATTAAAGTTGAATCTTGGTAAAAGTTCAGCTCCATATGCCAAAAAATTAAGCAAATACCTTAAAAAAATCAAACCTTCTGACCTTTCATGGAAAGATCCAAAAGCAAGTCAAGTAATTAGTTACGATTCGGATATTATACAGCACTTATCTGTGGAGGCAGAAAATGAATATAAAGATTTTATGGAGCCAGTAGAACGTATGGAGAGATTAACCCCTCATCGTATCAGAGATGTGTGTGATGAATTTGTGATGACTTATAGCAATACCTTATATGAGGAAATACCTATTGAACTCTCACATGGAAATTGGGATGAGTCGGAAGAAGTTCTCGAAGAAATTGCATCTGGAATTCTCGATATAATGTGAGTATAATATGGATTTTATTCTAAAAAAATATTGATTACATTTTTTCTGCTATTTGAACAGAGGTGATGTTTGGAGGAATCCAGCATTTGGAAATAAGTTTATTAAATCTCAGAATGAAGGAACATATGTTACAGATATTATAGTTCCTATGGTGAAAGCTTCATTAAAAAAATTACCAATAAAAAGTTTCGCTTTTGTTAGCACGTAAGTATAATATTATTATCTTTTCCGGATAATCATACATTTATATTTTTTATTCATTTAGAGCGGAACGACAGAGTATAGCAAGTAAAGATCGAAGAGGAAAGACTGGCAAACGTCCTGACATTATGTTTATGGTGAAGCGTGGGAAAAAAATCTATGAATTAATGTTTGCTGAATGCTCCTGTATTTTTTGTGATAAAGATAAGGAAGAAAACGATTGGGTAAAATTATGGCGAGAGATGAATGACGGTATGTATTGGGTACATAAAGGCTGTAAACCAAAAAAAGATGAATTCGGAATTATTGGGATACAAATTGCTGGACAAAAACTTCATCTGAATATCCTTATTCGAGATAAAGATGATATAAATAGGCTTTTTAGATTACGTTCAATGGATATCCCGATACAATTCACAGATAGAGATACTGTTTATAATTTTGTGGAGACATTATTGCTATTTCGGGTATGGATTTACTTGTCTATTTTTTTATGGCGAATCTATATCTAACTTTTTTTTATAGAGAATCCTAATCGTCAACCTATCACTATTATTAAATGCGGATCGTGATTCACATGGAGATAAAGAAGATAGTTCAACAGTATCATCCCCTCCATATGAAAATTAAAACTCCATTATTATCTATATTATTTTTATCTATCCTGTATCTTATTTTATTTTTTACCGCATAAATAAATCCGACCGTGGTGGTCGTTACTTTAAAACTTTATTGATATTGATATTGATATGTAAAAATTATTTTTAACAGAAAAATTTCAATGTAAAGGCTGGCCTATGTGATAAATTCGTGGTATTGGTCCGAAGTAAAAGATTTACGGGACATATTTGACGTATATATTAATATGGATAAACGACTTCATTTTTTTGAATTAATTTCAGATAAAAAACATGGATGAACATAAGACAAATGGTTACATAGACCTTGCTTTATTTTACGAAATAAAAACTTTACTGAAGTAAAGACATAAAAAATATAGCCCCAGAAGGACATACTATTACACGATACGAATATAAATAAAAAAATCTAATTATTCATTCCCTGGTTCACGTAGGGAGTATGCAATAATGTGATATATGTTTCTAGGAGGATTATCGTTGAAAAACTAGAGATTGGAGCTGGTGATCGCATGCGCCTTTCATCTACACTTCCAGAATAATAAATCTGGCGAATGTCGAGAGGAATATTATTGAATGGAGGTGACAATTGATTCTGAATTGCGGTTTGGAGATCATCAACCGTTGCATCTCTGGAAATCGTAATTGTAAGTACAACACTATTGATTGAAAGTTGATTACGTGGGCTATTAGGAATAGCAAGACAATTGAGAGTAATATTGTTGTTGGCCATTTTCACGTTTCCTAAATACGAAAACCCATAGTAAGTAAAATTTCGCTTTCATAGATAGGGCTTTGTTATAAACAATGAATACGAGTAAGTCGGATACGTTACCTCATAAAAATTTTGGGAAGACATGAGGATTTGTAAGTGTGGACAGTGAGATTTGAAAATTTTTTAATTTTAATAATATTAATTAGCACCAAAAATTTATATTAAAATGATCGACATTTCTCTGATTTATTCACGAATCACCAATTAATAATGTTATTGAGACCCAGGACAACCAGAAGAACATACAAAGATGCTGGTAGCGCCAGTATTAGAAGATAATAATGTATATATGTTTTTATGTATATGTTTATATATATATTTAATAAATTTTATGCGCCTCTTTGAGTGCTAGTTTTATAATTCATTAATTACATGATGTGGATATATTCAAAAGTTTGAGTTAATAAAAATTACATGAGTGCATGAAAAAATTTCACACTGATCACTTTGTCAAGAAAAATTTTTTCAATGAAGCTACATCGCAAAAAAACCACATGACTGAAATTTGCCAAGAAAAATTCTTGATTATATGCAACATTGATGACCGTATAATGTAATAAAACATATATAAAAATGAACCTTTTCAAGTAAAACCTTATTAGGTTCTTAAGAGAAAATTATTTTTATTACTAATCTCAGCTAACCATACTGTACTATTATAATAGATTTTCATCTAGTATAAGAAGTAATGACGAATCCTGGATAATGCTTCTAACACACCTCTTCTTCCATTTGGTTCTGCAAGATCAAAACCAACAATTGGATCACTACTATTCCCTGGCCATCTTAAAACTGTGATTGATTGCTGTCGTGGGCAACCTATAGCAAGTTCATTCCAATAACTTTTACTGATCGTAGCACGGTAAAACGTAACATAAGTGGAAACCACACGAACTGCAAATATAGTCATATTAAAAGCCTCACGAGCTTGACGTATATTTTCATCCCCACAAGCAAGAATTTCAGCACCTATTTGGGGTTCCCCATAGTCATTGGTTGGCCTAATGTTATTTAGATGTTTATCCTATTAAAAAGATTGTTTGAATTAGCAAAAATACGCATTTGTCAAGCAATCAATAACATACAGACCTCAACGACCAATAAAGAATAGTTTCTATAATTAATTACAAATTCGGCTTTTGCTGACAAAATTACATTTCCAACGTAAAATTTAAACAATGGATGTAATCTAAGTTTGAATGTAATGCAATCTTTAAGAAACTATTAAAGTATATCATAAACAAAAGACATTTCCACCAATACTAACTTAACCACCAAGGGCCATCTATCAAATTCGATAACACAAAATATTAAATTGGCTACCAATGTATCAGTAGAAGCTTCGCTTGTTCCTATAACAAGTTTCGTATTCTTGACAACTTCGTGCAATTTGTAAATGAATGTTTTAACATAATCATGATCATTTTGACATAATTGGTCAATATCTAGCTCTTCCATTGCGAGCACGGTACGGTTGACACCTGGGAGAATGTATTCTTGTGGAATGTTGACTATATGAAATTAAGTTGTAAGTATTGAGTTTGCTAAGAGGAATGTTGATACAACGTACCATTTCTATTAGGAATAACTTCGTTCGCTTGCGTAGCTGAGCAGAAACTCACTCTCAATGAACGAACATCTCGAGTATTGAATGATGATGCAGAATTGCTGAGAAAGTCTGGGTCGTGTAGATGTTCTGAATTTTCACTACCACTGGACCTGGTTTGTGACATGTTTTGTACTAAAAAAAAGAGAATCTAGAAATAATTTTTGTTGCACAGCCCCATCAAACGCGTACAACATACAGATTATCTGATTGATTATGCGGAGGGATTATCAAATTTAAATTTCTTCCTTTACTCAACTATCAACCTCTAAGAAAGATTCTTTCAAATATATTAACGGAATTCCTTCCAATTTTCACGAAGAAGTCACGGTCAAAGACTTTATAC